TATAAAGAACCCTACAAATCAATAATAAAAAGGCAAATTAACCCAATTAAAAATGATCAAAGTATCTGAATAGACATTTCTCCAAAGAAAATACACAAATGTCCAATAAGAACATAAAAACATGTTCAACATCATTCATCCTCGGAGAAATGCAAATGGAAACCAGGAGATAGCACTTCACATTCACCAGGATGACCATACTAAACAAGACAGACAGTAACACGTGTTAGCAAGGATGTGAAGAAATTGGGACTTCCATCCCTGCTGGTAGAAATGTAAAATGGTGCAGTCCCCTTGGAAAGCAGTGTGGCAGTTCCTCAAAAGGTTATATAGTTACTTTTTTTTTTTTTTTTTTAGTACGTGCCGAACGGGGGTGGGGGTGGGGGGGGACTCTCTGGTCCACAGGCCAATGCTCCAACTGCTGAGCCAAACCGGCCAGGACAACAGTTACCATTTAATACAGAAATTCTACTCTCAGATATATGAGAAAAACTTGTACATGAATGATTACAGCAAGCAGTATACAGAAGAGTCAAAAGACAAAACAACCCAAATGATCAACAACAGATAAATGGATAAATAAGATAGAATAGTACTCAGCAGTGAAAAGGAATAGAGTACTAACACATGCCACAACTTAGATAAACTTTGAAAACATTTTAAGTGAAAAAAAAAAGCCAGTCAAAAAAGACCACATTCCATTTATATAAAATGTTCAAAATAGGGAAACCTGCCTGGCCAGTGTGGCTAAGTGGATTGAGCATTGTCCCATGGACAGGGAGGTCCCAGTTCAGTTCCTGGTCAGGGCACATGCCCGGGAGGCTCAATCACCAGTGCAGGGCGTGCAGGGGGCAGTCAATCAATGTTTCTCTCTCACGTCGGTGTTTCTATCTCTCTCAAAAAAATCAATAAAAGTATATTTTTTTAAATAGGGAAGCCTATGCAATCAGAGAGTAGTGGTTACCTGAGGTTGGAGGGAACAATGGGAGGGTGATAGCTCACAGGCACAGGTTTCTTTTTGGAATAATGAAAATGTTCTAGAATTGACTGTACCAATGGTTACATAACTCTGTGAATATACTAAAAACCCTGTAATTGTACACTTTAAATAAGTGAAGAATAAGTGAAGTACACTTCAATAAATCTGTTATAAAATTCTTCAGGCCGAATGTATCTGTCATAGCAATTAATGTAAATAGGCTAAATGACTAAACACATTTTTTCCAAATTGTTGTAGCATCTATAGCACAGGTTGGCAATTTCCTTTCTGTCATGAGCTGAACAGTAAATGGTTCAGGCTTTACAGGCCATTGGGTCTCTGCTGCAACTACTCAGCTCTGCCTTGTAGTGCAAGCAGCCCTGGGCAATATGCATGTGAATGTGTGGCTGTGTGCCAATAAAACTTGACTTACAAAAACAGGTGGCAGGTTGGACACCTTATCTACAGATTCTTCCTCCATCTACCACAACCATGAGAAAGATGCCTCTGAGGCGACAGACTCTGAGAAGCTCAATGACTGGTCCAGGGGACAGGGAACCTGTAAACAGAGGTGACGAGATGTCTAACCTTGTCGTCCCTGGGTTTTTGCATTCAGTCATACATGCTGCCTCTCAGGAACACCTTCCCCTCCAGGCAGCTGGTACAGAGTGGGACCACCACACAGCCTCACAAAGGTGTCCTTAGTGAGACACCTCCTAACACCCAAGCGACCCTTTCCTAAACCCCGTCTCTGCTTCTGACCAACTTCCATGACATGGCCATTCCTAAGGGGCCAAGATCACCCTGCCTGCCAATTGAAGTCTTCATCAAGGCCCCACTTGGATTTAATCTTCCACCACTCCAAAGACTCTCAGGATCTCACAACTAGCAGTCTCTGTAGATCACTATTAGGCCTGATTCATGTACTTCCCTCCCATTGTGCTTTATTCTTTCATTCAAATTTTCTTTCACGGTTGACTACCCACCATGTGCCAAGCACTTCCAAAAGCCAAAACTAGTAAGTCTGCAGTAGACAGGAAAAAGAGCCCTGGCTCGGTAGCCCGGCTGGTTAGAGTATTGTCCTGATAAGCCAAGGCTGGGGGTTCAATCCCTAGTCAGGACACATATAATAATTAACCAATGAATCCATAAATAAGTGGAACAACAAAATGATGGTTTTTTTCTCTCTCAAATCAATTTTTTTAAAAAGATTCTTTAAAATAGAAAAGAAAGGAGATGGCTGATGAAGTGCCACCAGTGGCATCCACTAAACTAAATTAACACTCTGCTTTTGCCAACTTAACTGAATTCCCTGGGATGATGTTAAAGGAAAAAAAACAACAACTCATTTTCCTTTACACACACACACACAGAGACACTCCAAATGTGTGGGGGCTTTCCCACCCATCAATTCTGCAACACCAGCTGGGAGTCCTACAGTTCAATCCAGTTCTGACACTATCCACTTGGAGTTGGTGTCAGATCCCATAGGTTAAGGGCTCAGTCTCGCAAGACTCCAATAGAAAGTCTAGGTTGTCACCTGTGCTTCTGACCAACCCAGCTGGCTATACATCAGGGTTCCAGTGAAGCCTTCCTCAGGTTTGATGAATTTGCTAGAGCAGCTCACAAAACTCAGGAAAACATTCACTTGCCAGATTACTGGTTTATTATAAGAGGATACGACTCAGGAGCGGCCAGATGAAGAGATACATAAGGAAAGGTATGTGGGAAGGGGTGAGGAGCTTCCATGCCCCTTCTGGAAATGCCACTCTCCCAGCATCTCTGCATGTTCACCAACCCGGAAGTTCTCTGAGCCTCTCAGAACCCATAGTTCAGGGATTTTAGGGAAGCTACACTACTTAGGCATACAGGCCATTAATGATCAAGTCAATCTCCAGCCCCTCTCCCTTCCTGGAGGTCAGGGGGTAAGGCTGAAAATCCAACCCTGTAATCACATGGGTGGTTCCCATGGCAACCAGTCTCTATCCTTAGGGATTTTCTAAAGGTTACTTCACTGACATAAACTCTGGTGTGGTTAAAAGACGTTCCTTTTGCCTGGCCGGTGTAGCCCAGTGGTTGAGCATCGACCTGTGCACCAAGAGGTCACTGGTTCTATTCCCAGTCAGGGCACATGCCCAGGCTGTGGGCCTGATCACCAGTGGGGGGCATGCAGGAGGTGGCCAATCAATGTTCTTTCTCATTGATATTTCTATCTCTCTCTCCCTCTCCCTTCCTCTCTAAAATTAATAAAGAAAACAAAACAAACAAACAAACAAAAAGACGCTTTCATCTTTCTCACTCTGGAGCCACTTGAGGGGAAAAGACCAAATATTTTAACAAAAGATTCTCTTATAGCTTTTAGGATCTGTGTGCCAGGAAGAGAACAAAGACCAAACACACACACACACACACCTTATTATAAATCACAATGATCACAGATGCCCTTCCTTGTTCCTCTTTACTGGCTCTTCCTGTCCTACCTCTAGACCATACACCTGAGCCCTAATAGGTGAAGCCTCAGTTCCCAGTTGCATCCAATATTTGTATAAAATTACAGAACTTGCCCTGGCTGGTTTGGCTCAGCAGTTAGAGCAATGGCCTGCAGACCAAAGAGTCGCAGGTTCGATTCTGGTCAAGGGCAGGCACCTGGTTTTGGTTTAGTCCCCGGCCCTGGTCAGGGTCGTGTGGGAGCCAACCAGTTGATGTCTTTCACATCGATGTTTCTCTCTCTCTCTATCTCTTCCTCCCACTCTGTTTGAAAATAAATGAAGTATATCCTCAGATGAAGATTAAAGTAAATAAATTAATTAATTTAATTAAGTTACAGAACTTAACAGAAGGACCCTCAGAGGCAACCTAGTCCTTCAATTCACATAGGAAAATAAGGCCTAAGATCACACAGTACCTCAGAGATTCAGCCCGCATCAGACCCCAAATTTGTAACCCTGCCATAATGCCACACTGCCTGTAGAGTTTCAGATTTTCTAAAGGAGGCAGTATGACAGCAAGATTCCGCATACCCCAGTCTCCTCTAGATGTGGACTGGCTGCCCAACACTCTTCTTCCTCCTCCACAGCAAATTCCTACTCGTCTATCAACTCTCAGTTTAAATGTCCTTTCAAAAACCCAAGACCCTTTCTAGGCACCCCCAAGATGGGAGAAGGTGCTTCTTTGTGTTCTCACAGCTTCTTTGCACTTCCCTTAACACAGGGCATTATAAGCTACCGTTTAACCAGGATATGATAACCTCCTGCACTTGACCATGAACATCATCCAGGGGGACCATGTTCCGTCTTGAAGATCACCAGGCCTCCTGCCCTCAGCACAGAAAAACTAACTGAATGAAGGATAGTGTTACTATTCTTCACTCTTTTAAGTGAGTCAGTCTGATACCCTAAAACCTCTCCCCAGAAGCAATGAAAGAGTCACTACTTCCTCTGGGGTATCACCACAATCAGAGGGGAAGAAGGAGGCGTGAGGTATCAATCAACTCCTCAGCAGGGGTGGCAGCGGTTGTGATAGGACAGGAGGGAGGGCCAGGAAACCTGCAGAGAAGGTGACCAGGATGGAAGACCTGGGTTCTAGACCCCTGCTGTGCGGGCTCCTAAGACATAGAAATCTGTCAGACAAGCTGACCTCTGTCCTCCACTAACCTGAGTCTGCTCTGTGACCTTGGAGTAGTCCTGACACAGAACCCAACTTTTTCTGTCTGAAAACAAGGATAACATTAGCTTTCCTTGTTCAAGAGAAGAAAGCCATACACTTTGAGAACAATGCACGTGCCACATGTCAACTACTATCTCCCGCCTGGACGAGATGTGTGAGAGGTGTGCGATGTGTGCCCTAGATGGTCCCTGCCCTAGTCTGGTCTTCTCTTCCCCAACCTGCAACCAGACTGGCCGGTGCAACCCCAGGAGCCCGAGCCCAGCCTCGGTACCCCGCTCGGCACGTCTGAACCTCTCTGCCCACCTGGGCCCGGCTCGGCCCCAGGCCAGAGGGGGACATGCCTGGCCTCCCTTACCTGCCGGGGGGACGTAGGCCCGGAAGAGGGACGGGCAGTCAGTCCCCGTCTGCACGGAGACCACGGGACCACCTGAGGGTCGGTTCAGGAGATGGCGCCACCCGTCCCGCAGGCAGAGGCCGCTCCTCCACATCGCGCCCGAGCGCCTGGGAGGACAAGCGCTGCGAAACCTGAGAGCAGGAAACACAGAGCCAAAGGACCCGCAAGTCGCGCGCTCTGTACGGAAACCTCGCTCCACTTCCCAGAGCCCTCAGACTCCCGTGGACGCCGCCATCTTCCGCCTGACGCCAACGGCGCACCGTCACTGCGGCGCGCCTCCTGCGCACACCCCCAGTCAATCAGCATCACAAAAGCACCTTGCCCCGCCCCCTTCGAGCCGCGCTTCTGGAGGGAGACTACGAGTCCCAGAGGGCGCATCGCACACTCTATCACGTGTTCTCTCCGTTCACCAATGGGTGGAAGCACCGCCTCAGCCTGCTCCCGCCCCCCCAGACTCGCCCGGCCAATCGGAAGCGGTGGGGTGTGTGTGTGTGTGTGTGTGTGTGTGTGTGTGTGTGTGTCCGTCCGTGTGTGTGTGCGCGCGCGCCCGTGCGCGCGCGCGCGGGCAAGTGGGGAGGGGGACCAGCTCCGGACCGGCGGGCCCTGCTCGCAAGTCCCGGGGTCCTGGTGGCGGCCGGAACGGTTGGTCCGCAGGCGGCGGGCGGGTGGCTCCCCCCTCCCGCCCCAACCCAGCGCGTGCGCGCCCCGGCCCCTCCCTCCCGGCCACCCTCCTCGGCTCCCGCGCGGCGGCGGCGGTTCCTCTCCCCTCCCCCAGCCCTGGCTCCGGGGGACCCCGCGATGCCGGTCCGCACTGAGTGTCCCCCGCAGGCCGGTGCCTCGGTCGCCTCCGCGGCCTCGCTCATCCCGCCGCCGCCCATCAACACCCAGCAGCCCGGCGTGGCCACCAGCCTGCTCTACAGCGGCTCCAAGTTCCGCGGCCACCAGAAGAGCAAGGGGAACTCGTACGACGTAGAGGTGGTGCTGCAGGTGAGCGCCGGGCCGGGCCGGCGGGGCCCGAGGGCCTCCTCGCGGCGCTCACAGGCCGAGCCTGCCCGGCTCCTCGAGCCGCAGCTGCGGGCCAGGCCCTCGCCGCGGGCCTCCCGCACCCGGCGCTTCACCCCGGGACTGCCCGGCTGTGTTCACACTGTCCGAGCCCCGGCCCCGACCTGCCCGCACACCCCGAGCCTGTCGTGGGCGGCTCCGGCAGACCCTGAACACGTCCCAGACCTGGATCCGGAAGCCCCCGTGGCTGGCCACCCGCACACTTGGGTCCTTCCTGTCGGTGACCTGTCGTCCCAGTATCAGCCTCCCTGCAGTCCCTCTCAGACCCTGCACACTCTCCATTGATTTCTGCTGACTCGGGACCCTCCCGGTGCGGGGCCGTGTCAGATTAGCCAGACCTCAGACGAGCCCCCGTACCTCCTTTTCTCAGCCCGGGAATCCGCGGATCGGGGGCCCAGCTCTCCTCCCAGGGTTTCCTTCCTGGGAGAGATGAATCCGCCTCCTCGGACCTGGGAGCTGAGAGCCCCGAAGCACAACTGATTCCTGGCTTTTGACCCGCACCCACTACCAGGCACACATCCTGGGTGCTGATGGGTGGGCCTCCCCACAGTGTGTTAAGTCCTAGCTTCCTGGCCCGGGTTCCCCCTCATTGCCCCAGTCTCTTTCTGGTCTCCACACCCAGGCCTCTTGCCCCAGGCGGTCATACTCCTTCCCCTGTTCTCTGGCCACTTGCCCTGGCTTCTCTGCCCAGACCTTCCCACTTCATACCTCTGTTCCCCCCTTCTGGCTCCAGGGGACCCTCTTTGCGGGTTCTTAACTGTTATCTACACAACCAAGGCTTCCTCACAGGCTCTGATAGCCATGGACCGGGAAACCTAACTCGCCCAGTTTTATTGGTCACATGGGTATTTCCTTCCCATGCCCTTCCACCTCCCTGCCCCCCATTTGACCTGGATTTGTGAGCACCTGCTCTCAGCCCCAGGTAGCTTTGAAAGGACAGCTTCACCTGCCCTGGCGCTGTCCTGCACCTCACCCCTCTCATGCAAATGTTAGTACACTTGACTTTTTTTTCCAGCCAAAGGAGATCTGCAGTGGTTAATACTCCCTTTTCTCTCTCTTCCCTACAAAATTGTTTCTCCTCTGTCGCTACTGTTGCTTGCCTCGGGGCCCACTTTCTCCTCACTCTCTACCCCTCTGTCCTTAGCTTGACTCCCCACCTCCTGGGCCGTTTCCAAAAGCCCCTCTGGACATCTGTTCCCTGAAAGGCCTTACAGAAGCTGTGAGGTCCTAGTGCGCCACCTCTGCTGCCCTGTGTGAGGAGAGAACTAGTATGTCTTTTCCATATAGTCACCCTTTGCCCTTTAAATTTTTAAATCTTAAACAGCCTCTCTTCTGAGAAAATAGGTCTCCCAACCAAAAGACAACGGGAATCATTTTTTTCCTGCTAACCGGAGAGCATCCATCAGCCTCTTTTTCTAGCTGTTTTGTGGGAATAAATAATGTCTCCCCCTTTTTGGATTGGGAGAGCTGCAGCTCCCTGGTAACCGTGTCTTTGGACCATAAGCTTCAAGTTCTCTCATGAGCCATGGTGGTTATTGCACTTAAAAAACTGTCGTGGCTGAGTTTCTTTGATCTTCACAATTATGTACCTCGTGGTCATTGAAATGTAAGAATTCAGTATCAAGGTTTTTTGCAACTAATCATAAAAGTCTGAAAGTGAGATCCCTGGTGTGGGTCGTTTTTGGAACGATCTTGAATTTGTGTCCGTTGTTTCCCTCAGTGGTTTCTGATGTGACGGGACAACTGGCAGGGTAGCTAAGTGTCAAAGAGAAGTCTGCTTTGGTTCCTGGGCAACTGCTCTTCTGCCATTAGCGTGCTGTTTCTGAGTTTCTGTCAGGTGCCAGTTTCCTTGGAACCAGTGGAAGTGGCCATTGAGTTGGTGCATGACCAGTAGGTCTCAGGCCCAGACCAGCAATCTGGTTAATGGCTGGAAGCTACTGAGTAGGCTGTGATGGTGGAAGCGGGCGCTCAGACCCGGGAATGCTGTCCTCTGCCTGCATCAGTGAGCTGCTCGTCCAGTGGCATGTGAATTGTTCCATCATCTGCTTTTTCAGACAGGACTAGTTTCTCAGAATACTGCAGCCTTTATAACTCAACCTCATTCCTGCTTCTTTCACAACAGCTTTATTTAGATATAATTCACATACCTTACAGGCCACCCGTTGAAGGTGTGCAATTCAATTGTTTTTAGTGTATTCACAGACGTTGTATAACCATGACTGCAGTCTAATACTCATCGCCCTGAAAAGAGACCAGCAACCCCGAAGGTATAACCCCCCGCCAACCCTAGACAACCACTAATTTTTTTCTAATATTTGCTTATTCTGAACATTTCACGTAAATGAAATTATACAATATGTGACCTTTTGTGTCTAGCTTCTTTGTCTGAGCGTAATGTTTTCAGGACTTACCCATGTCATAGCATGTGTCTGCTTCATTCCTTTTCATTGTTGCATAATAGTCTGTTGTATGGGTATACAACATTTTGTCTATCCATTGACCAGTTGATGGACATTTGAGTTGTTTCCACTTTATTATTCTGTTATGAGTAATGCTGCTGTGAACCTGTATATACAAGTTTTTTTGTGTGGACATATGTCTTCATTTCTCTTGGATAGGTCCCTAGGAGTGGAACTGCTGGGTCACGTAGTAACTACGTTTAACATTTTGAGAAACTGCCAAGCTGATTTCCAACATGTCTGCACCATTTTACGTTTCCAGCAGCAGTGTGTGAGGGTTGCAGTTTCTCCACATCTCGCCAACACTTGCTATTGTCCGTCTTTTGTACTGTAGCCAACCTAGTGGGTGTGATGTATCTCGTGGTTTTGATTTGCATCTCCCTGCCGACTGACAATGTTGCACATCTCTTCGTGTGCTCTTTGGAGTGATTTCTCCTTTTGAGAGTCCAGTTTAAAGAGTTTTTCAAACTTTGTGAGATTCTAACTGGGTTTGTTGTTGTTGTTGATCGCTGTGACAGTTCTGTTTCTCCTCTGGCACCGAAGACACCAGGAGTAAAATGAGGGCCAGGGTCAGTGTGAAAGGAATATTCAAAAGAGCACTGTTGGATACAGCTGTGCTGAGACCCTCTTGCTAACAGTTGCCTTGCTCTCTTCATTGAGATGCTGTCCTGTCGTTTGCTTAAAGCTCTCTCCACTGTGGTGCATTTGAGTTCACCAAGCGTCAAGATCAATTTGGGCAAAATGGGAGAGGCACATGGTTGAATGGAAGTCAAATTGAAATTCTGATTCTTGTGATAATCCATGCAAAATGTTAGCCAACTTACAGTTCAAGCTTTAATGTATTAGCAAGTATCTTTGCCACCTGATGCCCTTCCAGCAGCTGTGAAATCCCAAACTAGATTGAATTCAGTGAGAACTGCCTACATGAAATTTAAGGCTTCAGGTTAGAGATGTGTGTCCTTGAGCAAAAGTTCTTTGCTGACCCACGTTAGTACAGATCAGCTGCTCTAAACAACCTCCAGTGCCGGGGTCAGCAGATGGGGATATTTAAAATGCTTTGGCAGTTTTCACATGGAATACTTTTATCACCAGCACCAAACTGGGAGCACTTAGCGTCATTGAAGCCCATTTGCTTTGGTGCTGACCTCATCTGGCTGTTTGAGCTCATTACAGTTTTTGAGGATTGCCTTGGTATTATATTTACCGTGCAGTTGGAAGTAGTTGAGTAAATTGGATAGATTCCGCATAACTTTTCTAATCTCTTAAAGTGAGACCTCACTTCACGTAAAAACTCAGTGTGCTACAGCACCATTGTACTTTGTTCTGCTTTTGTTCCGGACTTACCTTTGTGGGTTAATCCAATTATCATGAGGCCTGAAACCTGCCTATTCAGGATGCGTCCGTGTAGATGGGTAAATGCACTAGTCACCCCACTGTTCCAAAATAACAAAGAAAAGCGTGCCCACTGTCTCATATTACAAGAAGTTTAGGGTGCTTTGGTTCCCAGCTGGCTCATTCAGGGGCCCATTTCTCCCCATCTTTCTGTGCTGCTGGCCCTTGGCGTTTCCCCGCCTGTGGTTGCGAGATGGCTGCAGGCCTGGGCACGGCTGCAGACACTGCACCGCGAGGGGAAGAAAGAGCCTCTCCAAACACCAAAATGACCCAGCAGCACCAGGAGGCTTGCACACACGGCTAGCTGGCCAGAATTGGGTCGCTCACCCCTAAACCTACTCACGAGACAGTGGGGGCGTGTGTTTGCCTTGGATCTGTCAGGGTTGAGCAGGTCTTGTGGGACCGGGGTCGGTGCCAGAACGAGATCTGGGCCCTGCAATGTGGACAGGAGAAAACTGGTTGTTGGTTGGTTACTAAACCTCAAAACCTACACCTGTTACTCCTGTTCATTTCAGGCTCTTCTCTTCATCAAGACATAAATGTATCTGCACAGGAAATGAGCAGAGCAGACATTCACAATGCACTTTGATTTGGGTTCAGCACTTTGGTTTGTGACAGGTTTATGCCACATAGGTCTTTGAAAGATGCCTTCCCTGAAGATTCTGCCCATTTCATAAATAATGCAAGACGGAGCTTAGTGTGAATACAGGGAAGGAGTGGACGTGTCAGACCAATGACTGAGCAGCAGGAAGACAGAAGTAGGCCAGAAAGACATTAGAAAGCAGATGGAGCCCAGGCTAGAAATGACAATGTGCATACAGGTAGAAACGGAGGCCTCCTGGCCAGTGATGTGCAAAGTCTGGAGACCGAAGGGAGAGTGCACTGAAGACAGTATAGAAATGAGTCTGCAGCGAGCTCTCTGGTCCAGAAAGGGACTCGGCCTCACAGTACTCAGCGAATGAAGTTGACCTTATCTGAACAGGCACATGGATGAAGACTCCCAGAGGTCTCAGGCTGGTGAGCCCCAGGCTGTGCTAGGTGTGTGCTGACCTGCAGGCCTCCCTCCCTCCGCTTGGAAAGTAACCAGCTTGTCTCCCTGTGCTACCTCCATTTGTAACGAGGTTGTGTGTCCTTTCTTTCCAGCATGTGGACACGGGGAACTCTTACCTCTGTGGGTACCTGAAGATTAAAGGCCTTACTGAGGTAAGCACTCATTTAAATAAACTAGAACTGGAAAGTGGACGGCACACTCCGCAGTCTCGCGTGTGAAGGGCGGCAGTTTCGACTCTGAAGCCTGATTGAAACGCCGTTTCTAGGTGTGTGGGGAACATCCAGCACGCAGTGTTCACATGTCCCATGGGAGATGTACAGATTCCCAGAGCTCTAAAGTTTATAAATAAGTCACAACGTGACCGATAGTGTTGATTTTATTTTTAATATTTTTTGAGAAAAAAAATATAGTAAGAATATAGCTGCCACCATCATAAGTTTGACAGTTTCTGAAATAAGCATCAATCCTTCCAGAGGTCTTCGAAGTTCTTCCAACCTCTTAGTTCCCTGGAAGAATGAAAAGTGATCATCCATGTCCTAACAGAACTGGCTTCTCTGTAAATGTAGACTGTTGTGTTTCTGTTGTTGTTCATCCTCACCCGAGGATATTTCTTCTACTGATTTCTGGACCGTGGAAGAGAGGGAAGGAGAGAGGGGGAGAGAGAGAGAAACATCGATGTGAGGCACATCAGTTGGTAGCCTTCCACACATGTCCTGACTAGGGCTGGGGGATCGAGCCTGCAGACCAGGTGCGTGCCCTTGACCAGGAATTGAATGCACGACCCTTCATTGTGCAGACCGACGCTGTAACCACTGAGAAAACCTGCCAGGGCTGTTGTGTTTTCTTCGAACCAACTTTTTAAACCTTGGAACTCATGGAAATACAGGAAGCAAGAAAGAACATCCTTTTTCCCACTAGTGAGTGGGCAGGAAGTGGAAGGAGGTAACTGCACAGGCCACCTACCCCTGGTCAGTTCCCACTGTCTTGAAGGCCCAACAGTGCGCAGCTGCGGAAAGGAGCTAATGACATTCTTGCTGTGTCGCTTACTGGTTCCATGCCCTTTTGTTTCCCTTCAGTTTTCTCATGTATGAAATGAGAATTAAAAATGCCTCCTCTGTCTACTCAAGGGGCTCATCCTAATGGGGAGGGAACAATGTAATATAAGGGGTAGATTATAATGTGGTACAATGTGGGATTCTAACAAGGCACCATGGTCCCTGTCTCGAAACAATTCTTTCTGTCTTCTTCATTCCTCTGCTTCTCCTGCTTCTCTATTAGAATTTTGGGTCGGCCCTGGCTCAGTGGTGAGAGCGTCAGCCTGTGGACCCATGAGTTACAGGTCCGATTCTGGTCAAGGGCATGTACCTCGGTGTGCTTCGTCCCCGGCCCTGATTGGGGTCATGCAGGAGGCAGCCACTCGATGTGTCTCTTTCACGTCAATGTTTCTCTCTCTCCCTCTCTCTTCCTCTCCCTCTCTGTCGCTCTCTCTCCCTCCCACTCTATCTGAACAAAAATAGAAAAATGTCCTCCGGTGAGGATAAAAAAAGAAGTTTGGTTCAGAATTGCCTGTGAAGTTTGTTGTCGAGATGAAAAAGTAATCTCTTCCCCGCCTCTGAAAACGTACCCAGTCCAGCAGGGGTAGGACATGATAGCAAAATGAAGGATGCCCACCTTTGAACTTGTGTTAGTAGAAAACACATAGCAGCCCTGGCCGGTTTGGCTCAGCGGTTAAAGCATCGGCCTGCGGTCCGGAGAGACCCGGATTCGGTTCCTGCTAAGGGCATGTACCTTGATTGCAGTTTGTCCCTGGCCCTGGTTGGGTCATGCGGGAGGCAACCACTCGATGTGTCCCTTTCACATCGATGCTTCTCTCTCTCTCTCCCCTTCCCACTCCATCTGAACAAAAAATGGAAAAATGTCCTCAGATGAGGATTAAAAAAAAAAAAAAAAGAAAACACATAGCAAACTGAGTATGTTCACCTCTTAGGCAGCCAAATCAATTCAATGCAGAACATAAACATTTAACTTCATAAGGAAACCGGGAGCATTTGTAATGTAGAATATTTATCGCTGATTCTGAGAAGCAGTCATGGTGGCCACAGGAAGCTACACAGAAATGCTGAGTGGTGTTAACAATCCCCAGACAGCAGAAATGCGATGAACTTCCCGTCAGGAGCAAAAGCCCTATGAAGGGAAGCACCTCTGCTGCGTGAACAGCCGGGCTTCGTGGGGAGGGTGCTGGTGTGGTCCCGCGGAGGCCAGGCCGAGTGACCGAGGTTCGCGGCTAGGACTCGGAGAGCACCCTCCTGGCCAGTCCTGCCACCTGTGCCTGGAGTGGCCTCCTCAGCATGGCCTGCTCCAGGGCGTGGGGACCCGTGCTGCAGGTGTGGCGCTGCGTCGGAGAGGCGGCGTGCTTCCTGAGCTCTGAGTCACGCTCCACCTCGGGGTTCTTTGAACTCATCTTTTTAAATAACATTTTTTAGTAACTTTACTGAAATATAGTTCATATACCACACAATTTACCCACTTAAAATGTACTATTTGCCCTGGCCAGTTTGACTCAGCGGTAGAGCATCGGCCCATGGACCAATGAATCATGGGTTTGATTCCGGTCAAGGGCACGTACCTCGGTTGCAGTTCATCCCCAGCCCTAGTTGGGGTCATGTGGGAGGCAACCAGTCGATGTGTGTGTGTGTCTCTCTCTCTACCCCTCCCTTCTACTCTGTCTGAAGATAAATAGAAAAATATCCTCAGGTGAGGGGGAAAAAAAGTACGAATCTAATACATGGCACTGTAGATAATTAGCAAAATCAAGAACTGTGACAATTCTTAGAATGACTTTATACCTATTTTATAAAATGTAGTTATCCAATTCTATTTGCTTTTCCACTTATAGCTGTTAAAGTCTCAAATATGTAGTTTATTTTAATAAAACGACTTAAGTGGTTTGGTTTTGGGTGTAGTCGTCCTTGTTCGGCATTATGGAGTTAGCGGTCACACTGGCGATAGCTGCCCCTGCTGCCTCGCGTTCACAGATGAGCACAGCTTCACATTGTGTGACTTCTGGAAACGGAGACCTGCAGCTGTGAAGGATGGGTGTCAGATAACTTTCTCTCCGCAGCTCCGAGTCAGCAAGAGAGGGGGCTCGCCCCCCGGGAGTCCGCTGGCAGGTGGCTGGTGGACGGCCCGGAATGGGGCAAGCCACACCTCGGGGAGTCTGGCAGACACTCCACTCATACACGAAACCAGTTAGGAGGGTTAGGAACTCCCAGGGACTGTGCGCAACATACTGGGAACTATGGGGACAGCTCGCACTGACCACACTCACAGAGACCACGCGTAAGAGTGCTGGTGCACACACAGACCAGGTACATGCGTGTGCAGGAGCTGTGGAGACAGCTTACACTGACCACACTCAGAGACCACATGTAAGAGTGCTGGTGCACATACTTACAGACCAGGTACATGCATGTTCAGGAGCTGTGGAGACAGCTCACACTGACCGCACTCAGAGACCACGTGTAAGAGTGCTGGTGCACATACTTACAGACCAGGTACATGCATGTTCAGGAGCTGTGGAGATAGCTCACACTGACCACACTCAGAGACCATGTGTAAGAGTGCTGGTGCACATACTTACAGACCAGGTACATGCATGTTCAGGAGCTGTGGAGATAGCTCACACTGACCACACTCAGAGACCATGTGTAAGAGTGCTGGTGCACACACAGACCAGGTACATGCATGTTCAGGAGCAGCAGAGACAGCTCACACTGACCACACTCAGAGGCCACATGTAATGATGGCTGGGTTACGACTTGCAAACGAGGTACATGCCAGTTCTGGAAATTCTCTCTGACTTAATGGGCAATTGAATGTTGATTCCCAAATCAGGTCTACACGGAAGCCAGGCCTGTTGCCAGACTGTTCTCATGAGCTTGGAATCTGAAAGGGGAGTCGGTTGTAGAACTCAAATGTCTGGTCAGAACCCATCCACCTTAGGAACTGGCTCCTGCTTGGAGGGCTGGGTGCTGGGGACTGGGTGCTGCCCGTGCCTCTCCAACTCATTTTTATGGTATCCCTCTTCCTTCCGCCTGCTGACAGGGTTTTTTCTTCGACTCTGTGCATTACCACCAGTTTGGCTGTGTTCAGGTGCTTAAGTTTCCTATTCCTGCACTGAGAGGTATTCTTGGTAACTTCTGTACATATTAACTGTCATTCACTAAGTATTCTATTCTTTTGAATTTTGGGGTACCTTATAGTCACCCTGATACACTCACTGAAATTTCTTAGGGAGAAGCAGCACAGAATCATTCATTAGGGACATGAGATGAACTGTAAGTCTTTGTGCAGTATAGTAGGACCACCCATCGCTCTCTTCGGTCTCGTATGGAAGTTTTGAAAGAATGTTAGTTTAAAACTCAGAATATTATAGTTGTGAGTTCATAAAACAGTTCATTCTTTTTAAAAAAATTTTTTTTTTTTTTAATCCTCATCTGAGGACATTTTTTCATCTTTTTGTTCAGATAGAGTGGGAGGGAGAGAAAGGAAGAGAGAGAGAGAGATAGAGAAAGAGAAACATTGATGTGAAAGGGACACATCAAGTGGTTGCCACCCACATGACCAACCAGGGCCAGAGACAAACTGCAACCAAGGTACATGCCCTTAGCGGAAACCGAACCCAGGTCTCTCTGGACCGCAGGCCGACGCTCTAACCGCTGAGCAAAACCGGCCAGAGCTTTTTAAAATATGTTTTAATTGATTTTGAGAGAGAGAGGAAGGGGGAGAGAGAGACTGATCAGCTGCCTCCCCACTGGGAGTCGAACCCGCCACCCAGGTATGTGCATTGACTGGGAGTCGAACTGTCGACCTTTTGATGTACAGGATGACAATCAGCCAACTGGGCCACCTGGGCTCTGGCTCGGGTTCTTCTTGTATTATTACTTATTTATTATTGTATTGTTTTTCATATGAACAACTGTTTACCTACTGTGCCCCACCTTGTACGTATATAGCTTATGATTCAAAATCTCAAGTCAGGTGCTAATTTATATAGAACGTTCCTTTGTATTCTTTCCTAAAACATTAGTGTAATTTAGTTTATACCTTTAAAATCAGGTTCCATCTAGAAAATGTCCCCTTTTATTTCTTCGCTCTGTTGACATAAATGTCTGCATGGAGAGCCCAGCAGCCTTGTCGGGTGGGGCTGTGGTTTGGGGGTACTCAGCTGCCGGCACCTGAAGCTCGCTGCTGAAACAACAGCGCGGTGTGTCACGAAGCCTTTCCTTCGTGCGTGCGGCGCTGCTGTGTCCTGACCACCCGGCCGCGTGCGGCGTCTCTCAGGAGGGCCCTGGTGCATGGCAGGCCGAGCTGAGGAATGAGGCAGAGCAGATTCATTTTTTTAATTTTTGTTTTTTATCTTCGCCCGACAACATTTTTTTGTTCAGATAGAGTGGAAGGGAAAGAGAGGAAGAGGGAGAGAAACATCGACGTGAAAGGGACACATTGAGTGGTTGCCACCTGCACGACCCAACCAGGGTCGGGGACAGACTGCAACCGAAGTACATGCCCTTAGCGGGAACTGAACCTGGGTCTCTCTGGACTGCAGGCCAATGCTCTAACCGCAGAGCCAAACCGGCCAGGGCTGGAACAGATTCATTTTTTTTTTTTTATCCTCACCCGAGGACATTTTTCCATTTTTTGTACAGACAGAGTGGGAGGGAGAGAGAGGAAGAGAGAGAGAAACATCGATGTGAAAGGGACACATCGAGTGGCTGCCACCCACACGACCAACCAGGGCCAGGGACAAACTGCAACCAAGGTACATGCCCTTAGCGGGAACCGAACCCGGGTCTCTCCGGACCGCAGGCGGGCGCTCCAACCACTGAGCCAAACCGGCCAGGGCTGGAACAGATTCATTTTAAACATGGATCGGTGTTTGATCCAGAACAAGAGGGTCTTACATAGGGTCCATGATTGTATTTTGCCAGGCACCCCGCCGTCACTGTGCGCCCGAGAAACAGCCGGGCTTGGCAGGCAGGGTCGAGAGTGGGCAGGCCGGGCCGAGAGGCGGGCAGGCCGGGCCAAGAGTGGGCAGGCCAGGCCAAGAGATGAGTTTTTCACAAATGTAGAAAAACAGGAGACTTTACTGTGTTAATTTTTCTTCCGTTACTTTGGTGCCTCCTTATTAGCAGATGAACAAACAGCAAATAAAATTAACAGGAGTATTTTAAGCACTCAAGTCGGAATACAGCTTATTTATTTTTTCCAACAGAATTTTTTCTGATTGTGAAATCTGCAGACCAGATTTGCATATATTTTTCTAGTATGAATCATCTTTGTTTATATAATGATAGAATTAAATGTATCTTGTATATCAAGATATTCTACCAAAAAATTCCACCCCTAGAAGCTGGCGTGAAAAGACAGACAATGAGCCAGTGTGAGAACCAGGTCCAGTCGTGCTGGAGGGAGGCATAGCTGTGAGGGGCTCATTTCGGGGGCTCTTCGGGGTTTTCCTTGGAAAGCACGGTCTCCTCAGTGACCATCTTCTTTGTGTGCTGCAACAGTCAGGATTTACTGGTGGGAATCACCCAAATTCTTTTCTGAGCAATCAACATACAGCGAGTGGAGTCAAAGAAGGGCTGTGCTGTGCAAAGGCCCTGAGGTTCAGGGCCTGTCACTCAGGCTCTCCCACCAGCCCTCGGCACACTGTCCACCTAGCTCTGGTTCAGGTTGTCACTTAGCAATGGGGTAATTTTTTGAAAGTGTGGGAAGAAGTTAAAGTGAGGTTGATGTTTCCTTTGTGAAGGTTAAAACTCCTGTTCAATCTCTTGTTTTGATATTTGGGTTTCTACCATAGGAGTATCCAACCCTTACGACCTTCTTTGAAGGAGAAATAATCAGCAAAAAACACCCTTTCTTAACTCGAAAGTGGGATGCGGATGAAGATGTTGATCGAAAACACTGGGTGAGTAAATCTTTGATTGCCCTGGGCCACCAAGGAGAGCCGAGGAACTTGGCTCTCGGGATCTTATGACTATCTCCCTGCCCTTTTCATCTGTTCTCCTCCTGTCCACGGTTCCTTCGTAACCTCCTGCACGTAGGGAATCCCTGAAACATACCATAATGGCCTCTGACTTCAGAGAATGAGATGGAGATGCAGTTCCTGAAAAGCTGCCCCTCCCTTGGCCAAACCACAGGAGGCAGTCCTCATACCCGCTCCTGATAGCAGGACAGTCTGGAGAAGCCAGCCCGCCCCCTACCTGTCAGCCCTGGACTATGTTCTCATTCACTGGGAGTGAGCAGCAGTTCCTGCCCTCCGGTCTCCTTCAGCAGTCACACAAATCCATTTCCCACCTGTCCTGATCGCCTTCTGGCTCAGTGATCATGGCAAGGGTGAATTTTGGTTTAACACCAAGGAAGTCCATCGTTCGCCCTCATGGCCAACCAGAAGTGGTTGTGTTCGTAATGAAGATCCCATGACCCTGCATTCTTCCCCCCTGCTCACACCAGGCTGTTTACCCTCTGTCCTGACTCCTCCGCAGACCCTCGTCTGAGTTACCCCACTGGAGACTGGCTGCTTCGCTTGTTAATGTCTTTCTCTTGAGTTAGGGAAGGGACATTTATCAAATGCCTAGTTTTGATTAAAGTTAGACTTCAGTTTTTAGAATATTATGTGAAAGTTATATGTTTGCACTATTTTAGCAAAGAGACACTAAAGGTTAGACAGTCATTCATTTCTCTATAATATGAGAGAACGAACAAGAGTTGAGTGTCCAGAAGGTTGGGGAGCCCTAGTGGTGGCCGATGGTGCCAGTGTCACAGAGCAGTGTTGGAGGGCTGTTGGCGCCATCCAGCCCCACCCTGGCGAGTGCTGGCTCTTCCTATGTGGCCCACCGAGAGCTGGCTCTGCCCTCTGTGGGCAGCCCTCCCGAAGACGTTCTGTCCTGGAATGAACCGCAGCTTGTCTCCCGTTCAAATTTGTTTTCCATCTCAATTTGGTCCTGCAGAAAGCAGTCTTCAAGGCCCAAGGAAACCTCGTTTAGGCTAGATTGGCTGCACACTGAGCCCGAAAGGAGCCCTTGTTTTCCCATTGACTCCCCATCAGAACCCTGGGAACTGTCTGGGGCTCCTGCCTTTGTCCGGCTGCACTGAACACTGTGAGCAGGACAGGGACGGAGAAGGCCACCGGGCCCCGCTGCGCTGGGCACGGTAGGACAGGGAGCGCCTGCGGCTGCGGAGCTCAACATCCCACAGCTTTCCCAGCCCGCGGAGGACCCCCGGAGGGCCACTGTGCCTGGTGTCAGGGGTCACACTGTCTAGTAACTCCACCCGGATGGCACTTCCCCGCTGTGAACTGGACCCAGAAACCTCAGGTTTTCTGGAGTGGTACTTTAAGTTGGTAGTGCAGTAGAAACGGTCAAGATTTCATACACTTAATCTACTGAGAATAAAATACTGTGTAACAAATGCTATGATTTAATATCTCTATATCATTTTTTACTGAAGATGTTTTCCTATAAAAGTAATCCATTCTTGTTTTAAAGTATTTTTTAAAAAAAAAACAGAAAAGCAAACAGAAAAAAATCATCTATAATGACGACACATAAAGCTAAAAAGGTGTTAACCTTTTCCTGAATCTCATATGAATATCTGTATTTTTACAAAAAAGAGATCATAAGATACAGTTTTATAACCTATTTCTAGTCTTTTTTTTTAAACTTAACTATATACTGCCGTTTCCCATTTCTGCTAACCCAGTGGGCCCAGGCTGCCTCTCCACGCCTGCAGGCCCTCAGCGGTCCGCCCACCGCCTGACTGCGCTTGCTCCCGGGTCTTCGCTGGCCCTGGCCGTCTGTGTGCGGTGGTGTTCTGAGAACAGGCTTCTGGATTGGTCTGTTCCCATCCTGCCGCCCTTCCTCGGGCCACACTGACGGCAGAACTGAGGCCAGGCACCTGTCCAGAGTCCAGGCCTGAGCTCAGTGGGGTGACCAGAGGCTCTTTTTTCCATCCTCGGCCTTCACTGCTCTTGCCGATGCCACCAGCAGCAGCTGCCATGCCTTTGAGAAGGCGGTCGCACCGGGCATGGAGGGCAGCCCTGGCACTCGCCTCTCCTGTTGACATTCTCTTTCTCTGTTGTTTGCTTTCAGGGCAAGTTTCTGGCTTTTTATCAGTATGCAAAATCATTTAATTCCGATGACTTTGATTACGAAGAGCTGAAAAATGGGGATTATGTCTTCATGAGGTGGAAGGTAAGCCCCCGGTGGTTGTCTGAGGGTGCCGGCAGTGCACCCCGTGTGCTCCCGTGTCCATGCCCGGTGGTTGTCTGAGGGTGCCGGCAGTGCACCCCGTGTGCTCCCGTGTCCATGCCCGGTGGTTGTCTGAGGGTGCCGGCAGTGCACCCCGTCTGCTCCCGTGTCCAGTGCCCGGTGGTTGTCTGAGGGTGCCGGCAGTGCACCCCGTCTGCTCCCGTGTCCAGTGCCCGGTGGTTGTCTGAGGGTGCCGACAGTGCACCCCGTCTGCTCCCGTGTCCATGCCCGGTGGTTGTCTGAGGGTGCCGGCAGTGCACCCCGTGTGCTCCCGTGTCCATGCCCGGTGGTTGTCTGAGGGTGCCGGCAGTGCACCCCGTCTGCTCCCGTGTCCAGTGCCCGGTGGTTGTCTGAGGGTGCCGACAGTGCACCCCGTCTGCTCCCGTGTCCATGCCCGGTGGTTGTCTGAGGGTGCCGGCAGTGCACCCCGTGTGCTCCCGTGTCCATGCCCGGTGGTTGTCTGAGGGTGCCGGCAGTGCACCCCGTGTACTCCCGTGTCCATGCCCGGTGGTTGTCTGAGGGTGCCGACAGTGCACCCCGTGTGCTCCCGTGTCCATGCCCGGTGGTTGTCTGAGGGTGCCGGCAGTGCACCCCATCTGCTCCCGTGTCCAGTGCCCGGTGGTTGTCTGAGGGTGCCGGCAGTGCACCCCGTGTGCTCCCGTGTCCAGTGCCCGGTGGTTGTCTGAGGGTGCCGGCAGTGCACCCCGTGTGCTCCCGTGTCCAGTGCCCGGTGGTTGTCTGAGGGTGCCGACAGTGCACCCCGTGTGCTCTCGTGTCCAGTGCCCGGTGGTTGTCTGAGGGTGCTGACAGTGCACCCCATCTGCTCCCGTGTCCAGTGCTCATTACAGTTCTGCCTTCTCGGCAGGCTCTTTCCACACTCATGAAAGGAGGCACAGCTCCAAGGCAGCAGGCTTGCTGCTGACATCCTGCGGCTTCTCTCTGGTTAAACTGTGTGGTGGTAGCAGATGAACTGAGCCTGGGGCTGCCCCGACACTGCTGTTTGAGTCCCCCCTCTCCTCCCACCCCTGGGTCTCCAGGGGGGATCAGCCCTAGCGTTCTGTGGATTCAGGGGAGAGCCTGATGCTCTTTGAACACGGTCATCCTCTATCCCTAACCTCAGTCGCAAGCTTGCCCTTCGAGTGACTGTTCCCTCGCCACACCCAGGGCCCACGGGGCAAGCCTTGCCTCTGGTTCCTTGCAGCTCAGGAGCGGGACAGGAATGGAATGCCGGCTTTCCACTGCCCGGCCCTCAGAGAACGCCACCGGACTGGGCGCAGTGGCTTGGCTGCGGGCTGAGGCGCCATCTGCCCCCTGCCCTAGCAGCATGGCAGTTGCTGTGTCATGGCCACAGGGCAGCAGAGCCATGGGGCAAGTTTGCTGAGTCACTGTGAGCACGCACCTGCCTCCGAGCTCTCGGCCTCTAGGAGAGCTGTTTGACCTTGAGAGCTCGCTGGCATTCACAGAGAGCGCCGCTGGCAGTAGTCGCTCCCGGCCTTTACTTTGTGTGGCTAATAATTGGAGGTGGGGATCGTGATTTTCAGGAGCACTGCGGCCCTGAGCCCTGCCCGGTGAGCTCGCCACATGGTGGAGACAAGTCACCTGAACAACATGTGCAAGGCAGCTTCTGGTGCGCTTCAAATTTCTAATGTTTAAATTAATTTTTAAAACTACAGTTTCAGAGGTTGAGGAAAGGGAGGAAGAATGTCAAGATTTAAAGAGCGTTGGTTGTTTTGTCTTCAAAGACTGTCTCGAGGTGACTCACCATGGTCTTTAGCAGGCCTTGTAAGGCCTGGGCCTCTGAGCTGGTCTAGTGGGAGAGATGGTCACAGGGTTCGGCCTTTCAGCTCTTGGCTCTCACCAGAGATAAGCTTGCTTTTCATCAGGTGCTTAGTGAACGGCAGGGATGTTCGGGCTGCTTTTGCTGAGGCGTAGAGCTCTTTAAGGGGTGCTACGAGGGCTCCTGATGGTGGAGCTGTCTTCAGAATGGTCTGCAGGCAAGTGGAAGGACCCGCTGTTCTAGGTGATCGGGAACCTAGGGACAGCCTGAGTGGAGCACAGGCTTGGCCTGGCGTTCTGTGTGTGGGCTCTGAAGGGCAGGCAGGCATTGATTCGTGAGTGACACGTGTGCTGATCCTAGTGGGCTCAAGGCAGCTTTCTGCATTAGTCTGTCGGACACTCAAAGGGCCCATGGACGCTATTCACAGGCTGGGATGAAATGCAGAGGCCTTCCGTCACCAGCAAGCCTGGGCCAGACCACGTGGCAGTGGCTCCGGGAGCCATCCGAGTCACAGGAGGCTAGGGGGCTGGAGGACGATGTCACTGACCTTCCCCGTCTGTGTGCAGGAGCAGTTCCTGGTTCCAGACCACACGATCAAAGACATCAGCGGTGCTTCCTTCGCCGGGTTCTACTACATCTGCTTCCAGAAGTCGGCGGCCTCCATAGAGGGCTACTACTACCACAGGAGCTCGGAATGGTAAGGGGCCAGCGGCGGGCAGGGCGCTGCCCAGCTCCAGGGCACATCTCCCCGCTGCTCTCTGCATGGATGCCTGCTCCGTGGGGCCTCTCTCAGTGACCTCCGCGGCTCACACAGGAGCTCGTGCCCCCCACAGGTAGTGAGTGGGATGCAGACTGCTGAGTGGACACGCTCACTGCTGCATGCTTTCGAGCAGCACTTCGTCTGTGGCGGCATTTATCTCCATGGTGCTGCTTTTCTATGTCTTGCTCCCAAATTTAAACAGTAACTAAAGCGTCAGATTCAGCTGCAGACTGTGAGTTTTGCTGGTTCTGTTCCTGGTCCTAGGAATTTGCTGGTGCCCATGCACTTGACTTTAGCCTGGCGACGTAGGCCCAGGCAGCTGACAGCCCTGCCCTGCATCTGGTTTGAGGCCAGGAACCAAGTGCACTGTGAGCGCTGGTTGTCGCCCTTCTGAGGACTCCTGCCTCCTCACTGCCTCGTAAGCGCCGTGTTCCACCTGAAGGGCGAAGCATGTCACAAACCAATTTCTCCTCTGAACGTACAAACACCTTATTTCCTTTCCAGTGTTTCACACTCTGGTGACTTATGAGTGACCCTCCCCTAGGTTGACTCAGATTTCTTGTTCAGTGCCCTGGGGCTCAAGGCAGCCCAGCTCCTCTGAGAAACAGCGATTTAGGGTTTCAGTAACTGTTTTCAAAGGAGTTTTTAAAACTTTTATTATTCTTTTTAAAGTAACCGCTTTATTGAGATGTAAATCATTAAGTGCACAGTTCAGTAGCCTGTCATGGGCTCACAGTGTGCCGCATCACCAGTCAATTTTATTATTATTATTATTATTATTATTATTATTATTATTTTACTCTCACCCGAGGACATTTTTGCATTTATCTTCAGATAGAGTGGGACAGAGAGAGGGAGGAAGAGAGAGAGAGAACATCGATATGAGAGAGACACATTGACTGGTTGCCACCCACACGACCCCAACCAGGGCCGGGGACAAACTACAACCAAGGTGCATGCCCTTAGCGGGAACCGAACCCAGGAATCTCCAGTCTGCAGGTCGACGCTCTAACTGCTGAGCCAAACCGGCCAGGGCACCAGTCGATTTTAAATGTTTCCATCACTCAGCCCTGTCCCATCCCAGCCCGTGAGGGCTGCTCTGTGTGTCGTGGAGTCTGCTCTGGCCTCCATGCCTGGTTTCTGTCTCGGCTTAGTGGTGAAGGTGCAGCACTGGTAGCATGTGTAGTGCGCGTGTCCGTTGACGACCACGTTTTCATGGTGAGGATATGTGCCCATTCTGTCTGTGCATTCATCGGCTGCTGGACAGCAGTGGTTTCCATCTTCGGCCATGGGAACATCCGCTCTGGATGTGGTGTGCAGTGTGCGTGTGAGTTCTTGCTGTCAGTTCCTTGGGCATGTACCGAGGAGTGGACCTGCCGGGTTGTGTGCTCGTTCTGTTCCGAACTGTCTGAGGAGCCACGAGAAGGCTGCGTGCCGTTTGCACAGCGCTGCCCGGTTGGCATTGCCGCCACAACACAGGAAGGGCCTTCCCGCCCTCGGCACTCGTGACTCTTCACCGTCGCTGCCCCCGTGGGTCTGCGTGGTGTCTGGGCTTGATGTGCTGCTCTGATGGCTAAAGCACAGACCTTTCCTGAGGACTGTCTTCGGTGAGAAATGAACTCCTCTTGGCTGAGCTCCTCACTCCTGTGTGAAACAGGCCAGCGGAGCACTGGCACCCACGCCGGCCACTCTCCCTTTCCCTGCGGATCATCGCCCCCATTGTAGGTGGTCCTGGCCTGTTTCCCCTTCATCTCTTGACTCCTGGGAGCACCCACCCCCAGGGACACACCCCCTCAGCTCTCTCTCGTTCTCAAAGCCCAGTGGCTGTGTCTGGAAAGTGAGACAATGAAAATAAACGGCAGAGTAAGGCTTAGCTGCGAAGTTATCTTTCCCGTGCTCCCTTTGGATTCTGGGAGAGTCGGGTGTGCCTGTCACTGCAAGCTCTGAGGACACTGAAGCCTGACGCTCCAGAAGGCTGAGTGCTGGCGAGGGGGGGCTCCAGCCTTCTCTCTCGCAGCATCTCCGCCTCTTGTTCTGTGGCCCCAAGACAGCTCATTTCATGCATAACCCAGGACGGTTAACCTGAGAAATAGAAATAAAACCAAACTGGGCTCAACTGAGGAAGTCGGAGAGGAATTTGCATTTCACGCAAGCGTGTGGTTTGTCGGGTGGTCTGGCTGGGTTTTTTCAGACGTCCTCTGTTCAGTTCTCAGGGTGCCTTCCGTCTCTGTCCCCCCACCGCAGGTACCAGTCGCTCAGTCTGACGCACGTCCCCGAGCACAGCGCGCCCATCTATGAATTCCGGTGACAGTGGCTCAGAATAGCAGCCGAATAAACCGAACTTGGCAAAAGAGAGCTCTGCCGAGAAAACTGTGCCTGCCGGGACCAGGAGGACAGCGTTCCTGTTCCGGCACAAGCGGCCGCGCATCGGAAGGCGTGGGCCTTGGCCCGCGGAGTCCTGGCCCACCAGCAGGGCAGGGGAGGGGCGTCTCCATTCCTCCTCCCTCTCTGTGGCGACTTGCTCTTAACCTGTGTTCAAGCTACCTTATACGCACTTTCCTCCCACACAGCTAGCTGCGCATCACTGAAATGCCCCCTGTGCTCCGTCCCTGCCGCCGGCCGAGGAGGAGGGCAGCTCCTGGTCACCCTAGCCTTGGTGCTCAGTGGTCCCCAGCCAAGACCCCCCCAGTTGCTTAGTCTGGTAGCTCAAGAAAAGGCAGAGCCCCAGCACGAATGTGCCCCTAGAGCTCTGTGCAGGGAATTGGCGAGCGGCAGCAGCCTTCCTGAAGGAACGAGGTCGCGTGGCCCTGCCCAGCCCTGGCACGCTCACCAAGCTTGGCGGCAGCGGTCAGGTCCCAGGCCTGCCGTTGGGGTCACTAAACTTAAGGCTTCCAGGCCCCCGGCAGGAACAGATCCCAGTCCTGCTCGCTCAGCACATTTGCTCCAAACTTTTGAACATGAGGGCAATACTAAACTTTTAAAAAAGTTTTTTTATTGCAAAATTATTTTTATGGTCCCTTTAACAAGGACCCTATGGCAAATGCACAATTATTCAGAATTACATGTTATCGTTTTCACATTGAAAACAGCAAATGTTGACTTAGTGATTTTTATACCTGTTATCAAATGTAAATGTATATTTAACCAGCCAGCAGCTTGACACTGGTCATCCTGGTACAAAAGTTTTGCAGCATTGCATACGTCAGTGCTGAACATGAGAACTGTTTGGGGGGCCAGTCTAGCATTTGTACCTCCTCCTTTTGCTACTCAGAACAGCAGTGCTTCATGGGGATCTCTCATCCCACAGAAGGGCCGGCATCCTAAAAGAGCAACTGGAATGTTGGGACGGGGAGGGGCAGGGACATGAACTTGCTCAAGTAACTCGAGGCACGTGCCAAAGTGAGTGTGTGTGCGTGTGCGTGTGTACATGTGTGCGTGTGTGTGCATGCGTTTTGTTTTTGTTTCATGTTTTAAAAGCTTCATAGGTTGGCATCAGTTGTGGCCGCAGCTGGGGCAGGGCTTTGGAGGGATTGGCATCTCCTGGTGGTGTGGAGACAGAACAGAGGGCAGGCCCTGCCAGTAGGACGGCACTGCAGCTGGAGAGGGCACCCGCACGTCCTGGGCCGTGAGAACAGGGTGCCCGCGGTCTACGCATGCCGGGGGGTCTATTAAAGAGCGGCTTTCCTTTCAATGACGTACTGTTCGTTACTGAGAGTGATGTCAGGGGAAGCCTTGAAGGAGAAGTCCGTGGGAAAGCAGTCTCAGCACTGGGGCGCCGAGCGTGTCCAGTCTCTGCGCAGGGGTGCAGCCAGCGTCAAGTCAGGCCAGGACCGTGGAGCCCTAGAACCTGACTTCAGTGGGAAATGATTTATGTCTGTTCTCAGAGATCAGTCAGAAATGTTTTCTTGATTTTAAAACTCCAGAAGGCAGCAGACAGGTGGGCTGGGTCAAACCCAGCTGGAGGCACGGAGGTGAGGCGGTGACGTGTGCTGGAGCTGCTGTTCAGGGCCTGGGTCCCCCAGGAGTGAAGGGGGTGCAGGGCTGCACTATCACACGAGGCTGGAGCCTTTCAGGTCCCCACTCCCCCCACAGCACGCTCCTGACGGTGTCTGTGTCCTGCCAGCTCCTGGAAGGGCACAGGCCTCACAGCGCTGGGCAGCAAGGCCAGTCCTGGAGCATCAGGCTCCGAGAGGCCATGGGTTGGCGGGGCTGGTTGAACAGCCAGGGAAGGACGTTTGCAAACATTGATGGTGTCCAGCTAGCCAGATGGGTTCTATGTAGGATTTCTTTCTTCCTTTTTTAGCCACATAATGAGTGAAGGTGAAGAAGCGACGCCTTTCTGAGCTCTTTCGGACACATCTGTGACGAGGAACTGTCTGTACAGCCTGCCCGCTGAGGTCAAGGAAGGGGTTGTTTTCCACCACCTCAGTAGTCCCACGCCGTCCACATCGGCTCCTTTTCTCTCCCTCAGTGCCCAAAGGCACTTTGGAGATCAATAACTGTCTGCAGTTATTCTTTCTGGAAGCTTCTCAGTGGTTTCCATGCCTCTGGTGTTATGTGCAATATATTGGTCGACACTTGTATTCATCATTCAGAGATTAGTACAGGTTGCATATCTCCTGCCGTCTTCCTCTGCCCCACACCAGCCTGCCGAGAGAGCTCTGTTGCACTGCTCAGAGCGCTTCCGTTCCGTGGCCCCAGCTGGTGGCACTTGCCCTGCAGTCACCCGCCACAGCTGTCCAGCTGCGGAGCACCAGTTGATGCACCACGTGAAGCGGGCAGCCCGTCTGGGCGTGGCTGTCGGGGACGTGGACATCACTGGCTCTGGGTGCCGCGGGCTCTTCAGCGTCATTTGCTTTCGGAAACAGATTTCTGTTCTCGCTAAGGCCTTGAATTGATTTTTTTCCTCATAAAATAGTCTGATAAGCTAATTTTTAAAAAGAAATGCCATTAAGGATGTTGCATTGTGGCTTAAATTACTAATGAGTTCTGGAAAAGAAAAATAGTATTTGATTTTGAGTCATGTTTTTAAAAATTAGATGTGAGTGAGCGCAAAGTATGAATATTTTGTTTCTTTAGGGAGGATGTGTGGAGAAGGTTTGAGGGTCTGGGATGGGAGAAGTATTTTGCAGAGCTATCCATGTCCAAATAATTTTTTAAAAAATAATAAACGTATTTAAGCAGTGAGTCTGTCCTATTTCTAAATCAAAACCGTTTTTGTTGGAAGACACCAGTCCTCTGCCTGGCCCCGTGGCTTTGGAGGTGTCTGGGCCATCCAGGACCCCAGGACCCTGTGGGCAGTGGGCGGCCGAGGCTCCGGGGCACGGGCACAGGGCATTGAGCACTTCTGTCAGAGCCCCGTTCTGTTCATTTTCGTGCTCTGCTCTGCACATGTGCCGGCTTCACGCGTCCCTACCGCACAGAAGGCCAGCGGAGCTCTGCCGTCTCTGACCCTGGTGCTGGCACCCCTTGAGGGTGGGGACAGGCTGTGACCCCCCCCCCCCACGCCTACTGGCTCCTGCTCCCTGGAGGGCATGCCCAGCGCGCCCACGGGCTCCCAAAGGCTGCACTGACCACAGTCCTAAAGCTGGATGGGCTGTTGACTGACAGGCCACGCTGACCAATGGCAGAACAGCTAGCCTTTCTTTTTCCCGCGTTAGGTCTCAGGCACCACCTCCCTGAGCAGTGTCCAGGAAAACAGCCGGAAACACCATTTGAGTTTTTGAGGAAATGTTTATAGTGTTGAAAAGATTTGAATTTTGTTTTTTTGTTTTTTTAATCTTCACCCAAGGATATTTTCCTGTTTATCTTGAGATAGCGTGGGAGGGAGGGAGAGAAACATCAGTGTAAGAAGGACACATCAACTAGTTGCCTCCTGCGCAACCCCGACCAGGGCCAGGGATGTACCACAACTGAGGTGCTTGCCCTTGGCCATAATCGAACCCACCACTCATTGGTCCACGGGCCCTCACTCCAACCGCTGAGCAACACTGTCCGGGACAAAGGTTTACATTTTAAGATGAAATCCTAAGAGTCAGGCCAGTATGGCTCAGTGGTTAAGCATTGACCCATGCACCAAAAGGTCACCAGTTCGATTCTCGGTCAGGGCACATGCTCTGGTTGTGGGCCTGATCCCCAGTGGGGGGCATGCAGGAGGCGGCCAGTCGATGTTCCCTCTCATTGATGTTTCTATCTCTCCCTCTCACTTTCTCTCTCTCTCAAATCAATAAAGAAAAAAAAAAATGAAATCCTTAGAGAATTTACATTAGTTATCAGGACAAAGTTCCCATGTGAGTATAAAGTATCACCTGATCTCGTTGTTTGGACAATAATAATAAACTCTTTTCTCCCAAGATGTGGCGTCAAGAAAGCAATAGATGTCACAAGGCTGGACTCTTGTTGAAGACACCACTATTGGTCGTGTTGTACAGTGAAGAAACCACGGGCCAGCTGGGTCCTCACAGATCTGCCTCTGAGTGCTAGCATGACCTGTGCATCCACTCAGGTCTGCACCCGCATCTGGAGAGTGGGGAGAACAACCTCTCCCTGGGCCAAAGAGCTGTTGAGGATGCAACGCTTTTCTTGAAAGCACTTTATAAACTATAAAAATGCTCCACGCATGTAAAACACAGTTCTTGCTTAATAATAATGCAATAGCCATGGCAAGTGTTGCTCAGCGGTTAGTGTCGGCCCGTGGAACAGTGAGTCACAGGTTCCATTCCAGTCAAGGGCATGTGCCTGGGTTGCGGTTCGTCCCTGGCCCTGGTCGGGGTCGTGCCTGGAAGCAGCCAGTCGATGTGTCTCACGCATCGATGTTTCTTTCTCCCTCTCCCTTCCCACTCTATCTCAAGATAAATAGAAAAATATCCTTGGGTGAGGATTTAAAAATAATAATGCAATGAAATATGCCCTGAGGCTTGCCTGCAGTGCGCCACTCGAGGTGCAGGGGATCATGCAGAAATCAGCCATTTTCCCTGCCCTCTCGTGGTCTGGAGTAGGGCGAAATTGGCATTTTCTGATCCCCAAAGCTGACAAACCCTGCTCTCATATCTCAGTTCTTAGATCCCCAGTTTTTGACATTTAGTTTGCTTTGCTTTTTTATTTTTTTTATTTTTTTTTCTTTATTGATTTTTGAGAGAGAGGGAGAGATCGATAGAAACATCGATGAAAAAGAACATCAATTGGCCGCCTCCTGCATGCCCCCCACTGGGGATGGGGCCCACAACCTGGGCTGTGCCCTCACTGGGAATCGAACTGGCGACCTCGATGCATGGGTCGATGCTCAACCACTGAGCCACACTGGTTGGGCAGTTTGCTTTTAAACCATCCATCGGAACAGTAGAAAACACAC